GTCGTAGAAATAGTCAAATACGATACTTTTAGGACTTATTTTGACATGTTTTGACTGAACATCCACTAGTTGCCCCCCAGTCAACTCCAAAAAGTCACGTGATTGATAGTAAGCAATAGTAATAACCCTGTGGTTTGAATGTTTGTTATTACAGGCTGAAGAAATCAAACAAGGTGTAACAACTTACATTTCTCAGATCTCGGACCTTCTAGAAAGAGTCCCACGACAATTATTACTAATACTAAAGACCAATGATCTTCTTCGAAGCATAGACCATCAACTCAAGACAAGCGCTGCCGCCAAATCTTTTGTGACCATGTCGAGGTGTTGTATAAGAGCCGTTACTAGGCAACAGCTGGGAGAATGTACCACGTGGCAATGTTGGATGAGGACGCATGCTTCATCTTTTCTGGGACATTTTAGGATTTCTTTGTACCAGTTTTACGTATCCACGTACGCGAGGAATTTACTATATTTCTTATCTTTTTTCAAATTAACTAGCTGAAACATATTTAGGTTTTAGGTACTCCCCCTCGTTCCCAGTGCGTTTTCTTTTACTTCGATGGAAATGGAAGAAAATTCCTGGGAGGGGTGGTGATGTATTCACATAGAAATTCATTTATTCGGGTTGTTTGCTGGCAATTCAACTCAATTGGAAATTTTACATTATTATTATTATTATTCTATCGTTTTATCAATATCTCTGATTATCAGAATACCTCAATTGCATTCAATTCCGAAACAGTCACGATTCAATTCCGAAAAATCTCGATTAGTATATGTAATAGGACTCCATGCTGTTAAGAAATAATTGGACGAGGAAAATTCCCAAGACTGACACAAATTGGATGAGCCTGTAGGCCGAGTCCAATTTGGCAGTAAGAGGAATTTTTTGAGTCTAATTATTTCTTGATTGGGGAGCATGAAATCCCATTACCTATTAATTATATAGCTGCCTAATTAACCCCATATCAACAAGACTGTCCGATTAAGAAAATAATTGGACAGTTACCTATATGGGATTAATTCACCATTTTCCATACATTGGTTCACTGGTCAAACACAAAGCGCTCAAGGGAGGCGCCAAGGTACTTTCAAAGGATTATTCAAATTTGAACCTTGCAACCTCGACTGAATGCTTTGTGTTTGACCAGTGAACCGATGTATGGAAAATGGTGAATGAGAAACTGTATAATTATTGAATTGTATTGTGTAATCAATTCCGAAAAACACTCGATTAAATTCAGAATCAATCGCGAATCCATTCCGAACAAAAGCTTGATGCAATTCCGAATCATTCTCGATTCATTTCCGAATCGATCTCAAAACAACTGTTGAGTTGTTATATCGTCGTTTCTTTTCTATATTATATATATTTCGAATTCAAATATTTTTGCTAATTGGGGGAAATATTGAAAAAGGCTGATTACTCAGTAAAGAAAAGACACGAAAAGGTCACGTGACCTACCATCTCGAAAGGTCTTGCTACCCAACACATTTTCCATTCAAATCCTTATAAAATGGTATTCGATTTTATATCTAGTCACATTCTTCCGGTAGTCGACATTAGAAGTAGAACAGGGTAAAAGCTAATATGATGATGGAAATAAGCCTGCAAACAAGGAAAATGGTCTATTTGATTGCTATTCAAATTAAACACAACTTGCCTTGATATTATTCGCGTTGAAAAACCTAGCCTGGCTTTTCTTTTAATTTCCCTCTCGTTTTTTCTTGTTTCTTTTCTTTTTTGTATTTTTTTAAATCCTTTCTTCCCCCCCCCCCCCCCCCCTTTCCATTATTAAGGGCACCACAATGGCCGCCAAGCTTTTGTCTTTTAACTCTCTTGGAAATGCTTGCAACCCATCAATAGAAAAAAACCCTAAGGGAATAAAAGTAAAAGTTTCTCACTGATCGTTCTGGATAGTCTTTTTAGTCTATATAGGAAAACATTCCACTTGGTATCACAATGTTTTGCGAAATTATTTTGTTTTGATTTCTTTCTTTTTTCTTTTCTCTTTTTCCTTTCTTCATTTATTATCATTATTTTTTTGGTTTTTATTTTCCTGGTTTGGTTTTGTTTTCAAAGGCGGTTTGTCTAGATCTGTTTTGTGATATTTGAAATGATTTTACACTAAGTTCTAAGAATATCTATTGACGCACACTGAAATGAGACAGTCCACCCACTCAGACAAGCAGGTATTATTCAGAGATAGATACCTCAAGTGATACGAAGACATAGAGATCTGTCTTGGTGTAGTGGGACTTTTTGAAGTGTTAAACTCGTGCATGCTATCACAAGGGCCAACGCTCAACGGCCTCACTTTAAATGAATAAATAAATTGGCGGAAATTCTTGTATAGCGCATGATAATACGTGCATCCCAACGCGCTTCACAAACTTTACTTTCAGTGAAGAACTACGGGCTGTTGCGCAACTTGCAAGCCGCTAAAAATACCAGAAATACAAAGAAATTTTTACATGTCTATATGCGAATATAATACACATTTTGGAGTACCCAAAATCCTTTTCGGTCTTAGCTTCGATGATATGACCTTCTCGAACCCAACTACGTTTTTTCAATTGGGTGTATACACCTATTTCAGTAAACGTTGTCATCGTCAAAGGCAATACGCGATAGGTCATTCCGACATGGAAATGGTTTCGTTGAATACAAACAAAATCAAATCAGTCTCAACACTAAGGTGCATGTTATTGACGAGAATAAAAAGCAGAAATACAAGTCATTCCAGCTATAGGTTGCTATTAATAGACGTCACTTCCAGTAATAGCTCTTTTTTGGTGGCTTGTAGGATGATCCTGGAGGTTGTTTTGATCTCTTGTTTTCTGGTTTGATGTCGTGAAAATAGTCAAATAAAATAGCTTGAGGACTTATTTTGAAATGTTTTGACTTAACATCCGCTAGTTGCCCCCCAGTCAACCGCTTGTTTGTCCCCCAGGCAACTCCAAAAAGTCACGTGATTGATAGTAAGCAATTATTGGATCTTGGAATGACCTATCTTCTATCGCTTTTCGCCTATGAATTAGTGTATAAATGTTAAATTGACTATCGACAATAAAAAATCAAATCCCGTTCGAGACTCAGAATTTTTCCTGAGTCTTTCAATTTGCAGCGCTGCATAAGTTGCTTCATACACTGCGAGGATCAGCTCAATTTAATACATTACAACCGCAGTACAAATATAAATTTCATATGTATTCTCATACACAAATAAAAAACGCGTTGAAAACTGTTTGAATAACGTCCCGATTTCGCGGAAAACTTAAGTACAATCATTTAATTTTGACTTTACTCCTATCAAATATTTGAAAAGCCATGATTTTTACTGGGATACCGATGGTAGTTTTCTCAGTTTTCTATACCTTTTTTTCAAAGTTCTTTTTATCATAAGAGTTGTCATCCTGCTCTAGTCTTTGGCCAAACTCTTGCAATCTCGCTCGCTCTAGAACGTAATCAGTAGTAAACACTTAGGAAAAGAGACAGTTATTTGAACAATTGAATTTTTAATATTTTTCGATAGCTTCGATTAAAATCTTATCGGACCGTTTCTGATTGATTAACATCGACAGCTATGTCTTTGTTTTGGTGGTATATAGCTGTGGCGGATTTAGAGGGGGTTCATTGGGTGCAAATGAACCCCCCCCCCCCCACCGGCTGGTACCTTGGATTTTTTATATTTTTTAAATAAATAAATAAAAGTATGGTACTAACTCATGAGATTTAATATAAAATGGGACTGGTGGATAGGTTATCTTTATCAGGAGCGCCCCTAGGCCAGTGATGTGCCTCATGGGAAAAATAATGATGCAAGAGAAAGTTATTGTTGTGCCGAGATTTGCAAAAATGAACCCCCCCTAAAAGTCCTGGATCCGCCACTATATAGACATAAAGCTTGTAGCGTAAACATCCTATTTTGGGAACAAAATTCTTTAAATAGCTTGTAAAAAAATTGGCGGGAAAAACCATTAAAGTTATCTTGTTTTTTAATCTTACTGATACCATCTTCAGTGGACTGAGAAATTCCTTTGATCGATAGCAACCGTAACTCTGTTTCCATGGTAATGGCTTAAACCATATTTTATTTAAGGGAGTACTCATATCAGGAAATGCTCGAACGAAGCACAAGTTCAAAGTAAGTTTTTTTTACTTTCGTTAAAGCTTTAGTGAATTACCTTTTGTTTGAACTTTTTAGATTTTTGTTTTAGAACATCCAAGAAAGTGAAAAGAAGCAACGAAAGGAGACTTCGCTCTACGAATAGTAAGTTGCTCTAACTTTGTAAAACTGTTTTTTGTTTTGGTGTTTTTTGTTTTGGTGTTTTTTGGGGTTTTTTTCTTGTTATTTATTTATTTTTTTTACAATGTTTTTTTTGTTTTTGTTGCTGTTTTTCGTTGTTTGTTCGTTTGTTTGTTGTTTTTTTTTCGTCGTTGCTGTTTTTTTGTTCTTTTTGGTTTTTTGTTTTTGTTTTTGGGGGTTTGTTTTGTTTTGTTCTGTTTTTCGTTTGAACAACAAAAGAAACTGTAAAATGCATGATATACCAGGAGAAAATACTCGAAAGCAATAATAGAAAGAAATAGTGCGTCAGTTTTTGATCTTGAAGAAAGTCAAGCTTTATTATTTTATGGGTCCATATTCTATTCGTGATATATAGTAGCGTTTTCAAGTGACGTCACAGCGGCCATTATGGGGTACCAAAACAATACATTTTCTATCCTCCGGGAATTGAACTCTATCTTTATGCAAATACTGTGCAAAAAGTTTCTATTGTTTATGGTTGTCTTCTCCCGTGAGTGAAAACGCTCTATTGATGGTTTTCAACCATTCCCAAGAGAATTAAATAACAAGAGAAACGGCGGGCATGTTGGAGGATATGACAAAAGAATTCATTGACAATTCTTTTGTTATGTTCCTCCAACATGGCCGCCGTGAAAACCATCAATACAGTGTAATACTCCAGTTTGGAGTCATCAGTGGGGATTGCTAAAGGTTAATTAGCTTCGATTTTGTGTAGAATATTTACGTGTATCAGTGAAGCTGTATTTTTTTATTTCAGTGTTTGTCTACATTTCTCTTCTTGTTTTTTGCGCACTACAACTTTTTGTGGTGCCTCGTCCGTCATTTGGTAAGTATCTTTTCAGCTCCTTTTTTGCCTTCAAAATAGTTTTTAATGTAGATCTTTTGTTACTAGTTTGGAATGCAACGCGCGACTAGAGTGAAGGCATTTAACCCATGAAACAAAAAATACTAGTCAACGTGTAATAGTCAAATAGACACACAAGAAAACAATGGAATTAGGGTCTACTAAAGTGTATTAGGCTAACTTGACTCTAATCGTACGTATACAATGTACTACTTCCACGATAAGGCGGCCATCACGTTACGTCATAGACGTCATGTTGGTTGACGATAAGAAAGAAGTCTTGATCAGTAGCTTTTCTTGTTAGATCAACCAACTTAGCGGCTGTTTCATTGTTATTTATATTTTTTGAGGAATGTGGTTGCACCCCAAGAATACCAGACAATATTTTATGGTTAAGGTTATTTATTTCAGCGTATAAGGTCCTTGAATTTTATGAATAAACAACTTTGTTCGTTTGTGACCATTTTTGAGAATAAACTCCTTTTTTTCTTCTTCAGCGTATGAGTACCTCAAATGTCCAAAGAACTGGTTGAAACGTGGCTGCAGGGTCAATTTTCATCGCGATTTGATTCCCATTTTCGACGACAGAAAACCTGACGCTAAAGTCAAAATAGACTGGGACGATTTCTCCGGCTACATTGAGGAGTAAGTCGTCAAAATCCTGCTTTCTTTAACGCTACCAAATTTGGCTTGTGAAACTTTAGAATATATCTCTTTAGCCTGCATGAGAGTATAACTTAACCACCCATTCATTCAGAAAAAATTGGGTCGAGATGCTATTGTTAGTGTATTGTCAGACTGTCTTAGGGAACATATTTCCAAAATAGCGTCCAATAAACCAATAATGCACTGCAATCCCAATTCGGTCCAGTTTTTTCCTAAATCTCTGGATGGCTTAGTAATAATACTGATTGGATTTGAATGTTTTGCTTTGTCAGCCTGACCTGTCGATGTTGCAGTGAAGCCATCAAACTAAAATACACGTGGTTCGCCCTAGAGAATTATGGGGTATGTCTGAGCGGGACAGGTCCATTGCAAAACTACTCAGCAACGTAAGATATTCTGATTGTTATACGGTTTATACTACGTCATGTGATTCTCATAGGGGACAGGTACAACGTGTAGATGGGTGGTAAGGGTGGCTAGTGAGAAAACTATAAAACTTCGGTCCGGTTTATTACGGTTTACGGAATACAATCCACATTTGAAAAGAGCTTGTTTGATGTGTTTTTATCATCATCGTTGAGAAAGTTCTCGATCTCTGACCGGGTTCTTCATTTTTCCTCTCTTCACAAACCACAAAAATCAACACGTGAATTGAGAGTTCAGTGCTTAATAGAATGTTAAATGTAGTGGAAGTGTGGAGTGTGTCGTTTAATTTTGCCTGGAGGACCTACCGAACGACTTGTAATAAAAATAATATAATAATAATAATAATAACTTTAACTTTTACATGTTTAATGAGGTTAAACATAAGAGACTGTTAAATTTGTGGACCTCCCAAGGCGACTTCTTATATCTTGGAGGCGTAAAATAAAGAAGGTCTTATCAGTACTACATAACAATGAATTGGTTTTTTTATATTCCTTTAGGCATCCTCTCGATCCAGAAAATAGGTGCGTTGGAGTTCTAAAACTAAACGCTAGTTTAGTCAGCGATATCGATGGAGAACTCTGTGTTGGCGGACAGTATCGAGCGTATTTCTACGATGTACGAATATCTAGAAACCTGAATTAATTCCCTTGTATATAGATCTCTTTCTCGTCATTTTGAATATTTTCTCTCTTTTCCTTATTTTTTGTTCATTACGTATTCAGATAAAAAATTCACACATTGGTGGTATTGATCCAGGCCCGATAAAGGAAGTCACGGTCGCACCCCCTCTCAGTAAGTAGCAACCATGGGCTCGGTCCTCTTTCTATTCTTTTAAATTTCCCTTGAGGGTTCTTTCTGCCGCTGTTAATCGTATGGCCACTCACATATCCATCCATGCATCCATGCATCCATGCATCCATGCTTCTACGCATCCGTGCATCCATCCATCCATCCATCCATCCATCCATCCATCCATCCATCCATCCATCCATCCATCCATCCATCCATCCATCCATCTCATGATAGCATTCCATTCCTATTCCACTAAAACCAAAAGCGTATCCCATGCTGGTTCCTTTGCAGTTCGACTCCCATACGTAAGGAAAATTATGG